GTTTACCTCGAGAGGGGTAAAAAATGAAACCCAAGTGACACCTCACACGTAAATGGACAGAATGCTAACCACTACCACCACTCTAGAGTTGTGAAAAAGTTTTACAAAACATACAGTCCACAGAAACAAATTTCCCCATGATTTTTCAGGGCTCCAGCTTCCTTACCAGCCTACTCAGGCAGCTGAATGCCTGAACTCATACAAGAAGGTAACAACATCTGGATTTACACGTTAATTTCTAAGGGGAGAATTTAACAGTGCCCAGGTAAACAGACAGGGCATCCAAAGAAAATTTACTCCTAATTATTTTTGGACAAATAGTAAGCCCAGATATAAATGACTTGATTCAAAGATTAGTAGAAAGAAAAACAAGAACAGAACATGGGACCTATGCAAGCATTCTGTAGCAAAAAAAGGAAACAATTTAAAAGATAGCTGATGGTCACCTTTTGGCAGAATTTGTACCCCATGAAACAGGAGAAAATCTAGACAATAGTTCTATATGCTCAAGAAATTAAAGAAAATAAGAATTCTATGAAATAGGATTTGGAAATACAAAAGATAATTGTCAAGGATGAAATGATGCTACGAGAGCTAAAAATATTTTTAAGGAAACCTAATGCTAACACAGAACTTTACATTAAAAGGCACTAAGAGAAGAAAAAACATTGGAGTAAACATTGGAGTGAATCAAAGATCTGAAAAGTAGGTTTAGGAAAAACATACAGAATGCAGTGTAAGGGGACAAAAATATGATCAAAATTAGACAAGACAGCATACTGAGGGAAGAAAACAGATATCGAACACTAAGATACTCAGTGTGTTTGAGGGAGAGAATGGAACAAATTAAATAAACTGACTGAAAAAGGTCATGAAAAAACTATCTTGGAATATAGTAGTCCTCCCTTATCCGTGGTTTCTATTACCGTGGTTTCAGTTACACATGGTGAACTACAGTCCAAAAATATAAAATGAAAAATTCCAGAAGTAAACCGTTTATACATTTTTAATTGTATGCTGTTCTCAGTAGCGAGGAAATTTCACACCACCCTGGTTCATCCTTCCTGGGAAGCAAATCATCCCTTTGTCTAGCGTATCCACACTGTACATGCTACCTACCCATCAGTCACTTAGTAGCTGTCTTGGTTATCAGATTGAAAAAACAGTACACTAGATACAGGGTTTGATACTATCTGTAGTTTCAGGCATGTGCTGGAGGTCTTAGAACACATCCCCTGTGAATAAAGGGATATTACTGTAATGGAAACTATATATTGATTTTACTTACATGAATGTATATATTTGTCAAAATTCATCAAACTGTACATTTATTTATTTTTTATTTTTTTGTCTTTTTCATTATCGGTAAGGGGATTGCAACCCTTGGTGTGGTGTCACCCACACCGCGCTCAGCCAGTGAGTGCACTGGCCTTTCCCATATACGATCCGAACCTGCGGCGGGAGCGTTGCTGTGCTCCCAGCGCTGCACTCTCCCGAGTGCACCACGGGCTCGGCCCCCAAACTGTACATTTAAAATGTGTGTATTTTATTGTCTGTAAATTATACCTCAATAAAGCAAAGTTAAAACAAAAGTCTACTACAGAAGTATAAAACACCAAAAATATAATATATTAAAATAACTTAGAAAAGAACTTGTGCAAGTGCAGCAAATATTAATAATACTCATATTTCATTTAAAATACACAATAAGATTAGTTTTTAAAGTCAAATAATGGGCCAGCCCGGTGGCACACTGCTACAGTGCGCCGCTTGGGAGCGTGGTGGCGCTCCTGCCGAGGGTTCGGATCCCATATACAGACCGGTTCCCGCTCACTGGCTGAGCGAGGTGTGGACGCAACACCGAGTGTTGCGATCCCGTTGCCGGTCCTGGTCCGGTACGGGCGCGACACTGAGGGTTGCGATCCATTGCCGGACACGAAAAAAGACAAAAAGGAAAAAAATAAAAATAAAAAATAAAGTCAAATAATTAGGGCTGAGCCCGTGGCGCACTGGGGAGAGTGCAGTGCTGGGAGCGCAGCAGCACTCCTGCCGCGGGTTCGGATCCTATATAGGGATGGCCAGTGCGCTCATTGGTTGAGTGCGGTGTGGCCGGTCTCAAAAAGGACAAAAATAAAAATAAATAAAGTCCAATAATTAAATATATAAGATGGTTTATCAAATCCTGTGTTCATCATTGTCTTCTGCCTCATTCCATCTGTGTTTGCTTTAATTTTTCCTGAAGCACATCCTTCAGTAATTCTTCTGATTACTGTTGATCTGTTGGTTGACTCTTTTGATCCTTGTATAGCTGAAGTGCCTTTATTTCACTGTCACTCTTCCTGACAGTTTAGTTGCTGTAAATTTTTAGGTGGTAAATTATTTTCTCTCATCACTTTAAAGATACCACTTCATTATCTTCTGGAATGAATTATAGATTGGATCAGCTCTTGGTCTAATTGTCAATTCTTTGTAGAAAAACTGGTTTTAGTTTCTGGTAGTTTAGGGTTTTCCTCTTCATTTTTTTATGATCTGCATTTTCACTACAAAGTGTCTGGATATAGGCGTATTCTTGTCTGTCATTCTCAATACTGGAAATACACTTCTGTCAGTTAGAGAGAATTACTGGTCATTATCTTTTCAAATATAGACTCTTCACCATTTCCTCTATTTTCTTCTTCCAGAGCTATTAGACAAATGTTGAAGGCTTTCATTCTGCCTTTCATGATCTTTAACTATTCTTTTATATTATTTATCTCTTTGTGCATTCTTGGTTAATTCCTTAGCATTTTTTTCAATTTATTAATTCTCCCTTTGGCTATATAATCTAGAGTTATATTTTTTATTTCCATGATTTCCAGGGGTTTTTTTTATATTGACTTTTTTTTTTTACTACAGGCCATTTTAATCTCACAATACCTTGTTCTTTGATGTAAATATTTTTTCATTTATTTCTTTGAAGTTCCCAAACATATAATATTTCATCAAATCTAAGATGTCATCAATTGACACTGTCAATTAAACTATGACACGTGCTAATATACATCTTAGAATTAGAATATGGTAAGAATTTTAAAGTTATCTTTAGAGTCTTTTATTTAGTTTTATTGCAGAACTTATTTTCTACTTGCTAATTTTGTTGGCTGTCTTTCTTAACTTTATAGTTTTGATGTTTTAGAATTTTAGAGGTTCTTTCTCTCTCTCTCCCCCACCACTCACTCACTATACATTATTCTTTCCTTTTTAGAAGTTTTGCTGTTGCCACCACTCAGACCTTATGACCCTCAGGCCAGACCAGATTTAGAGTCGTGAATGGGACTCCTCCGCCACGGAGATACTGGGGGTATTGCAGATACATTCATCCAGCCCCAGTGTGGTTTGACTTAGTTGCAGGTTACCCAGTTGGCAGTGGAAAGGAATGAATTTAGTCTTCTTTCGCAAGCCAGGGATCCTCAACTCGGCCCCTTGTTCCAACCAGTGGGCCTGTTTTTCCTCTCACTAGCCTTTACCATTTCTGCAAATGGCATCTGCAAGTGGTTTTGGCTGAAGCCAAAAACCTAGAAGTCATTTTTGATTTCTCTTTTTCCTGTGTATTCCATATCTAATCCATCAGTCAATATAGTTGGATCTACCTCCAATATATAACCTGAAGCCAACCATTTCCCACCACTTACACTGCTACAATCCTTATCAATCCACCAACATGTTTTATCTAAACTGCAGCAAGAGCCTTCTAATTGGTTACTCCAATGCTGCTCCTGACACCTACTATCCATCTCTGAACAGACAGACTGATCTTTCTAGAGCATAAATCAAATTACTTTATTGTTCTGTTGAAAACCCTCTGAAGGATCTCTAATGTAATGAGAATATCTTAACTCTTCACCGCGACCTATGTGGCCTTATATAATTTGGCCCTGCTACCCGTCCCATCTCATCTTCCTCCACAGTCCCCTTCATTCACTACACCCCAGCAACACTGGCCTTTTTGTTCTTTCAGCATTCCAAGCTGGCTGCACACTGAGGCCTCCACACTTGCTGTTTCTTCTGCCTTGTGGCTGTTCCCCCACCTCTTTACCTAGCTGCCTCTGTCTCTTTACTCAGATTTTGGCTCAAATAATTCCCTCCTAACAGAAGCCTTTTTTACTCACCCTAGGTAACTGCCATGTTTATATTCTTCCATAATACTCACAAGTATTTGAAGTTATTTTATATATTTATCTGTTGGTTGGTTTACTTGTTTATTGAATACTCCTCCCCCTAAAACAGAGCTTCCCAACCAGTGTACTGTGATAACCTTTGTGCTTGGAAGGGGTTATAGGTGTGCTGAAATAGTGATCCTTCGGTCTCTGAGGCTGTTCGGATGTCCCTATGGTAGCATGCCACAAGTAGACTCTGGCGTCTATCCTAGAGTACTGTACAAATAATATTAATTGGGATGTCTGCCATGATGTGGAAACTGTTGGGAAGCAGGGCACTAGAATATAAACTTCTTGAGGACAAGGAAAAAACTGCATTTGTTGGTTATAGCATGCGTGTCTGGGAACACTTAAGAAAGAAAAACACTGGAGTGTCCATTAAGCATATTTGGAAGAGTTTAACCTTGGACACTTCTTTCATGCCAGGTGGCAAGATCTGTTTATCTGTTAACTGGCTTCCCTCCATAGCAACATTGTTTAACTATATGAGGCTTCCTACTGGTTAATAATGACTTCACATATTAGAGAGATTTGGAAATTTAGGAATGCCTTTCTTCCACAAAAAAAAATCTCCAAGACCACTTTTATGTTTGATCTGTCGTAGTCAAACGTTAGACCCTTGATCTCAATTTTTTCCATTTCTGTCTTATTCACTCAAGAAGTGTTTACTGAGTAGCTACTAAGTCAGGAAATATACCAGGTGTTTTCCATATGTTATTTTAAATTATAAAATATTTTATCGAAGATATCCTCTAAATGTTGTAATATGTGTGTGTGTGTTATGAAAACCTTTTATAATTTCAGCTCAATTTGAAAAAAAAAAATAGAAAATCAATGGATTCTGTTGATCACTTAGAAGATTATGTAAATAAAAGGTAATTTATTTCTAAAATTTTAATATTTAATATGTTCAGTGATGTTTCTAGTAGGATGAGTTCTGCCTTTTGTTTTATAATAGACCAGAATGAATCTATTCTGGATTGTTATTTACATTTAGTCCCATAGTACAATCCAATAAATGGTCCAAGACTAGTAGACATCACACCCAGACCTTGAACACAGTCAAATGGAAAGAAAGACATTGAGAAATAACTAGAGACAATACAATTATGGTTTTGCAGTAAAGACACAAATTTAATTACTCTATAACATGGATGTGAAAAAAGTAGCTTCTTTATTTTCTGTGTAAAGTTCTGATCTTTTTCATGAAACTCTCAACCTCTGTGTAATGGGAAAAAATCATATTAATATAGTGTATTTTTAACTTTGTTTGGAACAATAATGAACAGTCTCTTAGGTTTAAGTCAGTCCTTCTATTTCTTTCCATGACAGCATCTGAGTATATAAGTGAGAGACTAACTAGACTTTGTGGCATTGAGGAAAATGTACCTGACCAAGGGTCATGGTCAGCACCCTTGTACTGCTGCTGGGATTGGTGACCACAGGTTCCATTCCTAAATGTTCTGTGGCTGCTGACATCTGTGGTTCATGAACTCACAATCTATTCTCTCTAAACTTGGAGAGAGGGTCTGCTCTCAACTCTCGCTGGGGTGTAGTCCTCTCTGAGTCTCTGTTATGTCCTTTATCTGTCCTTAGATGATACTGTTCATAACTCATCCATGCTAAACCGTTGCTGTAGGTTACCTCATCCCTGCAATGGCAAGCCCCTTAGCAAACCTAAACTCAGTGTCTGTGTCCCAGGTGAGATCTAGAATGAAAACTATATCCTTTTCTTCCCAACCACACTATTGTATCCTCTTAACAAACCTGGGGCCACACTATGTTGGTATGAAGCTGCCCTGCAAAGCTTCTCCCAGAATTTCAACAAAGGATGTGGCAAATAACCCCTCTACCTTTAGTGTTTTCCTGAACTTACATAATACGTCTCCTTCTCACTCAGGAACCAAAGAGGCACACATATGACTATCTTGCTTTCACCCCTGCATTTGTTGTTTTCTCCCATGAACCAGGCAGGAAGGGATGGTCTTGTCAGGTTGAAATCCTATGGGAGAGAAGTTGGTAGAGATGTTGGCAGTGACTTCTAGGGATAAGAGGAGGTAGACAAGAACCGAACCTATAAACGTTTCCCTGAACTTGTGTTCATTTTCAGAAGAACATCTCCACAAATTAATGATTTTAGTACAAAAGAAAATAAATCAATGAGGAATTATCAATTAAGAGAGTATCATTCAGTAAAAAAGAAAAGCTTGCTCCCCTTGTGCTTTGAGGATGAGTTGAAAAATCCAAATGCCAAGATAATCAACATTAGTCCAGCAAAGATGGTGACTTCTCACATGGTAATAAGAGTGTCTACTATTGTTCAGTAAATATATGTATTGATAATACATATTTATAATACAATATATGAGAATCACCCATATATATTCCAGTGACTGGAATCTCTGATAAATCCTTTTTACCTCTTGGTTTCACATTCTGACGTGATAACAACACTTAAATTCTTAATGCTCTTTTTAGAACCACCACCCCCAAACTGAATATTCCTTTGCACCCACTGAAAATTTTGAGTTTTTCTTTATGAAGAAGGCTTTATCAAATTTACTTGGTTATAATAGAAATATATAATAAAATAATATTTTAAAAAATTACTGAACCATGTGTTCATTTTTCTAACCATCTACTTTAGCTATTTCAACCAGAAAGTACATTTATTAAAGGGTGTTTGGTAGCGTACAGAGTCTCTAGGAAAGCTAGAAAGACAACCTGGTAATCTGGCTTGAAAACTATCTAGTCAAAATTTTAAAAAGAAAGAAAGAAAGAAAGGTATTTAGTTAGGAATCACCCCATTACAACCCCAGACTGTCCCACTGGGGCCCAGGCTATTGCCACAGGTAACAGTTTACAACCTTGAGGCAGGGCAGGGGATATTCTTTCTAAGCCTTTTGCCACTGCTGCCCTTCACAGCTGACTATAGCTTCCACCACCCTCACTGAAGTGGTTTTCACAACACCTGCGTTTTCACAGTGCTTGCTTTTTCTGATCTGAAGACTCTCATAGCTATATACGATTGGCAAGCCTAGGTCACATGCCTATGCCCTCACCTCAAGAGACGCTGACAAAGATAGTTTCTGCCTCGAACTAAGGGTACACAGACTTGTAAGGTGGAAAATTCCCTAATGTGTTGGACAGAACAAAAATATGCCAAATTTTCATTACTGTGGCATCACCACTGGATTGTGAAACTAGATCTTTTGTCATCCTTTCAGTAATCATAGGTATTAATGTATCTTTTACACTAAGTACACTAATGTACAATGACTCTAATTTCTTATTTCACTAATTATATTTTT